ATCAACTGTAGGCTATGGCTTAAAGAATGTACGAAGAAATGCTTCCGCTGTTTGGGGCCCGGGCATTCAACCTGAGACTGAGAAGGACCTGCCAAAAAAGAAAATGGGTTATGCATAAAGTGTGTCCATGCGGGACACAGCCTGAAATGGTAACATAACTCCCCAAACTGTTGCTTATGTAAAGAGGCAAAATATGCACAGACAGATCACGTACCGGGTTCCAGGAAATGTACGGTATACAACAGATAGCCAAGTATATGAAAGCTCTGCAAACCAACATGCATAGATACAAAACTACGGAAGTACTATAAATTACAAGAGAGAGCCACTACGACGTCATTATAATCAGTGAACAATACAAAAATAAGGAATGTGGAACATGGCTGCAGGATAGCAGTGGCACTGCTACGGTATGGTTTTCCCTCAACAGCAAACTCCACACCAAAGCAAGTGGAAACGGAAATGGTTTCATCTGAACCAAATACTCTCTCCATACTATTTTTTGCTGCTACCTAACACCTAGCAGTAAAATCCACGACTTTCAAGCCAAACTGGACTGTATAAAGAACGCTTCTCGAAAGACAGAAGATCAAAAGATAATCGGGGAGATTTTAACTCTAGGCAGTTGAATGGCATATGCAGACCAGCGACTCCAGAGGCCAGCGGATTCTAGAGATGGCTGCACGACTAGACCTTGTAGACATAATATTGGCATCGGAGCGCTAAACAGGCACAGTAATATTTTGCGAAGTGCTGGAGGACTATACTGACAGTGATCATAACAGAATGTCAAGCACGACCTGCTCAAAATAGTACACATAGCCCCCTCGGCAAATGGAATGCTTCAAAGCTAAACACTAACCTACCACTTTCCTAAATTGATAAGCAAGCCATCCTAGAGAACAACTCGAAAAAAAGCAAAGAAATTAGTGTAAGACACAATGTATGCCAAGAGCCACAAATAGGAGGATAAAACGAGCAGCGTACTAGTGGACTGAGAATATAGAGCAGCTAAGGAAAAAATGTATTCGCCTTCGGCTGGCCTATACAAGGAACAGACGAAGAGGCAACGCACCTACAGAAATGTACCATACTGCGAAAAAAGAACTTAAGCGTACCAACGAGATTAGTAAAAAATAAAAGTGGGAAAAGCTACGTAACAACCTAAATAGGGAGCCTTGGGCTAGGGCACATAAAATGGATCATTAGTTAAGACTTTATTTCCAGCACATGAGACACGGGAAGAACAAGCAATATTGTAGAACCTCCCTATAGAAAAATTTTGTTTTACTACTGGAGAGCTACAAATAGCGGCAAGTAATCTCAAACCAAACCAATCACCACGCCTCGATGCCATACCCGCCGAAGTAATGAAACTGATTGTTAAGTCCCTGCCTGAAAAGAAACCCATTCTCCCAAAACTGGAAAATACAACAGCTGGTACTCATTAGTTAGGAGAAGGGAACCCAACGAGTTGAACGACATATCGCCCTCTCTGCATGCTGGCCACTGGTTGAAAGCTTCTGGAAAGACTGCTAAAACCGAGACTGGAAGCAGCTATTGCTATTGCTGGAGGGCTCTCAAAATAGCAATGCGATTTTAGGCCCGGCAGATCGACAGTGAGAGCAATCGAGAATGTAGTTAAAAGTGTTGAAAAAGCTCAACAAGGGTGTCGCAAGCAAATAGTGCGACTAGCCACTTTGGATGTTCGAAATGCCTTCCACAGAATAAATTCTCCATCCCCCGGTATCTTCGCCCAATGATGAGGAGCTACCTTAAATACAGGATCTTACTCTACCAAACTACCTACGGGCAGCGAAAACACAAGGTAATGGCAGGAGCAGCGCAGGGTGCTGATGGCATTGCCACTATAGTCACCGCGCGCGATATGGAAGACGCACGCAGGAAGTTAAATCAAAACTCGCAACAGAAAAAACCTATGAAACACATACCTCTGGAAATAGACATGCACACCATCGTGGTAACTTGATGTCAAGAAGAGTTGGTAACTATCTGGGTGTAAGACTAGACACTATACTGAACTACTCGGTACAAATCCAGCATGCCGCAGTTAAAGCCTCAAAAGTCACTTCTCAGCCTAGCAGACTAATGGCTAACATAGGAGGTCCAACTCAAAAGAAAAAGAAGCTTTTCATGTCAGCAACTTTTAAAATCTTGCTGTATGGAGCCGAACTATGGGCGGACTCACTCAAGAAGAATAATAGACGAATGGTACTGACCAAAGTATACGGCACGGCGGATTTGAGGGTAGCGTCGGCATACAGTACAGTATCAGGGGAAGCTATAGCTGCAATAAGCGGAAGCGTTCCCATCGACCTATTTGCAGCCAAAAAAAAAAGAAACTGGACGCTCAAAAAAATGAAGAACCAAGGATACACTGTCAATACAAACAAAGAAGACAAAAGGAAAGGGACCCGGATCCAGTGACAAGCCCGATGGAAAAAAGAAAGTCATGGCCGATGGATGGCCAGATTAAAAGCAGACATCATTGACCAGATGTTGTCTGGTCATAGATATTTCAGGAAATACCTGCATAAAATAGGGAAAGCTGAAGATCCGTCATGCATCTATAACGAAGATGACGCAGAGCATACAATCTTTCAATGCACTCGCCAACAAGACGCGAGAATCAGACTTTAAAATACAGTTTGAGAATTAAGAGTAGATAATATTGTCTCAATTATGCTACAAAGTGAAGCAAGCTGGGTAAATGTTAAGGATCTCGCAAATAAAAGTACTACGAGCGAAAAAGCTGGACCTTTCAGATGGCGAGATGTAATCTCACTGTGAGAAAAATGGAACGTGACCTTGAATTAATATGAAAGTGCCTCCAGGGTGGGCGACGGTTCTCTATAGAAGCGTTTCTTAGTGAAGAAGTTGCACATACCTTTGATGTGACGACATAATGATGACGCGGAAGGCATTTTTATTCTCCTCAGCCACAAAAAAATACATTTATCTAAATTACCAAGAGCTTTTTCACATTTTACTTATATATTCTCATATTTATAATTGGCGCATTTTAACCACTGAAGCGATTTTCGGCCAGTCTACTCCTCGAATATGTGATTTTGCGTCTTTGATGTTGTTACGACACCAAGATTTAAGCCGAGCCTTCCAAATGGCAGTACGCAATGCTAACCACTCGGCTACCGCGGCCGCCAATACTTACTGATATGAAAAGAACATATTCTTATAGAAAAATAAACACTCTTCAAAAGGGTATTTTGATAAATCCGCCCTTTCAAAAGTTATTAAATGTTATAATATGCACATGACTCCTAGCAGTTGTTGATGCATAGCCTAATAAACAACAACTTCCATGTAGTAAGATGGTGCTATTGTATATCTCTTTCAAGATAATGATAAGTCATAATTAAGTATGTATATACTTTTAATGACTTTTGGTAAGGTAAAGTATATAAATAAAATTTCTTATTTTTTCTTTTACTGAAATCATTTATTTCATTCAAGTTCTACCTTATAAAGTTTATATAAATTTGAAGATAAATAAAGAAATTTATTTTGTTTACCAAAAAGAGAAAGCATTCAAACCAATTATTTATGACGACGGCCAAGATACAGCTGTTAAGGCGAAATTCTCATACATCAGTCAACTTATAGGTCCTCGACGGAGGGAACTATAAACCAAGGATCATCCCAGGTACATGGGGTAAGTTTGGGCAGCAGCCCAGAGGAGGTGGACCGCTGATTTGACAATACAAAGCATTTGACGGCCAGTGCAACCTATAAATTGTTTTGTTTGAAACAGGATTTGAGTCCGGACCCACAGGAACATTGCTTTTGAGATAACTGTCGAGCTAATTTGTAATTATTTCTTTCCTTAATAACCGCTCCTATAGTACTGCTTTCTCATGACTTGATAAAGAAGCGAAGAGAATATGTCTGGCAGTGAATTATGACATGATGTATCATCAAACAAACAGTCATCGGATTCGTGACTTGGCTTCCCCATCACCGTTCACAGTCATAAATTCGAGGTTGCATGTAATTTCATCTATCTAGGAAACATCATTAACATCAATAATAACGCCAGCCTTGAAATACAATGCAATTGAAAGGAAAAGTCTTCTCTCCACGAACAAAAACCAAACGTACAAGTTGCTCATCAAACCCGTCCTACTATATGGCGTAAAAGCGTGTACGATGTTAACACCCTGGGAGTATTCGAGAGAAAAGTTTTGCGAACGATATATGGTCCTTGGCGCATTGGCAACGGTGAATATAGCAGACGATGGAACGATGAGCTGTACGAGCTATATGATGATATTGACATACCTCAGCGAATGAAGAGACAGCGGCTACGCTGTCTAAGTGATGCCGTTGGAATTAATGAAAGCACTCTAGCTTAGAAAGTATTCGATGCAGTACCCACTGGTGGGAGCAGAGAAAGAGGAAGATCTCCACTCCGTTGAAAGGATCAGGTGGAGAGCGATCAGGTTTCACTTGGTATTTCCAACATGCGCCAAATAGCAAAAAGATGTGATAAATGGCATGCTTTTATTAATTCGGTTATAATCATTTGAGCCACATTGAAAATCATGCCCTAAAAAGATACTACTACTACTGCTACTGGATCATATATCTAACGAAAAGTGCTAATAAAAGCCACAGGCATCTGAAAAACCAAAAAGTCGTCGTTTTAAGTTGCGTTAAATGCGATCGAAACTCAGATAAAAAAAACAATAGGTAGTAGCGACCTCTGTCGCTCTTAAAGAATATGTCAGTCGTAATAGCTGAGTCGATATCTTTTTAGATATGGGCTATTCCAGTTGGGTGACTGTAGCAAAATAAATTTTACGTAAGGAAAAGAAAGCTAATAATTGGAAAGAAATATAATACGAGTAACTAAAATAAGTTCTTCTTTATGTTATTTCATTGCTTCTCACTCTACAATATGTCTGTCGAACGACTTTAAAAATGTTTATTCCTTTCTGAAGAGTAATTCTATTTCCGTTTAAAATTAATTGTTTGTTTCAGAAATCTTAAGGTAAAGAATAATTATAAATAAAAATAATTGGTTTACCATAATTTGACATGTTGTAAGAACACTTATTTTATTGCTCTCTATGGTTTCAGTTGATCCGGAACAGCAGGAAGAAAGCGTTGGTGAAATATCGGTGCAAATTGATTTATTTTCGCATCCCGGCACCGGGGAGCACAAAGTTAATGTTAAAGGTATAAAACACAGTTTTTTTGCGGGTATAATATATTCATTGACCTTATTTCTTACTCCAGTTATCGCAGCGAATGATCTCAAATGGCAAATTGCTTCGGGCATGTTTCGCCCGTTTATCGAAATAAATTTAATTGGGCCACATTTACAGGATAGGAAGCGTAAATTCGCTACAAAATCAAAATCCAACAATTGGTCGCCAAAGTACAATGAAACATTTAATTTGTAAGATGTTCTATGCGATGTAAAATGATTTCCATTTGAATTGATGACAACGACGATCTCGGTTTTTCTTTTGTATAGCACAATCGGTAATGAGGAGCAGTTGGATTTTTTCGAGTTGCACATTTGTGTAAAAGACTACTGTTTTGCTAGAGAAGACCGTTTAGTTGGTGTGGCTGTTATCCCGTTAAAAGATATATCGGAAAAGGTAAAATAAATGGGAAACCAAAAAACTACACTATTATGATTGAACATAAACGTTGACACCATAGCTAATTTCGATTAATGTTTAACGGCCTTTGAGGCAACGATAGGTAGAGTTTGCTTACTTCAAGTGCTATTTCTAGCGCAAGGACAAAAAGGTAAAAACATGTTATGTTAGAGATAGTTGAAGCATAAAAAGTCAGAATTAACTTTTGGCTGCTATTTCTCCAGTCGGTATGGACTCCTTTCTACATATCCTATCCATATTTTGAATTAATGAATTTAATTTTAGTATTGAATTCTTTTGTCAATATCTCAATACCGGCGAATAAAGGTATTGCGGGTAATTTATTATCGTACTATAAAAATAATCAGCTTCGATTCAGAACAATGCGACGTAACGCATTGAAGGATATGCCATGATATGTAACCAGTTAGGACAATAAATTCATATGCGTGCAATAATTCCCTCTCATCTGTGTCACCAGACCCATCAGGACCGCAAAAACCAACCATTCCTTGGCCCTTAGTTTGATATTCTTGTTAACTCTGTTAAAGTACCGCATTATGATGCACAGCTTTTCCCAGTTGCCTGTTCCCTCTATTAACGCTACCTTCTGCATAAGATTAGAGTAGTTTTTAGTTTCAGCAAACATATCCTATCGACATCAATAATCAAATATCCCTGACCTATTTCGTTCGTTATAAACCAAGTCCAGTAAGAACTTTATTATTTTGGTATCAGCATATTTGTATTAATTACCTCTTGTAAGTCGCGGTAGCCAACAGTTTCTAATTGCGGTCGCTTGCCGGCAAGGGAATATTCTTACCTTAAATAAACTGTCCCTCCATTTGTTGGAAAAACCTCAAGACTCACTACCACAAATTGGCATAGAAACTACCAGTAGAAGCTACCACTGTCACAACATTAATCTGACTCAAACGATTCCTTACAGCAAGGTCAGCCTTCACTGGGTACTTTACGTTTGGTTTGTATTGCCATTTCGATGTCGCAATTTGCAGCGTTTGAATAAGTATTTTTGTTTGATTGGCATACCAATTTTTAGTGTGCGTCTTAATGTTGGTATACTCGCATAACACGAAAGAAAGGCTAACTAAATATTATTACAAAAGAACAACATAATAAATGTTTTTGCATTTTTGATACATAATTTTTAACCTTCATTCGCTTCGCATTCTAATTTCAGGGATCAGTTGCCTGCTGGTTACCATTACAACGCCGTATTCAAATGGACGAGACGGGCTGGACGATTTTACGAATTTTATCGCAACGTAATAATGATGAAGTTGCCAAAGAGTTTGTCAAACTAAAATCGGAAATTCGTCAGGAACCTATAATGGGGACATAGCTTGGTTAAATTGTTAAATACTAACAATATCGCTAAAGGAAATCTTATAATACTAATTAGAAAACTAAAAAATAGAGCATTGCAATAATATCGAATATATATGTATGTATAAAGATTACTTCCAATTAAAAAAAATTTACTGTAGACATATATGCAAATTTATACGTAACTGTATAACCGCTTCATAATTGCTGAAGCGACTTTCGACCGATGTTTGCGTCTTGAGGTTTCTTCAGCAAATAGAGTGGTATACGGTTTATTTTCGAGGAGCAGCCATATATAATTTTTTTTTTTATAATTTGAAGTATTCGTCGGACCGGGACTCAAATCCATGACACTTCGCATTGTGGACAAGCTGCTGGTCTTGAGCCTCACCATTAAAAAAAAAATTAAATAAAGCTAAAATCGGAGGTCCTAATGTTATTTTAATTTTCTCATATGAAATGCATTCGGACATATTATTATTCCCAGTTCTACTAAATAATTGTACTAAGTTAAAGAGTAAAAAATTACAAAATTAGTTTAAACCGATTTAAAAATAAATATAAATAATTATAGACATAAATATACATATAAATATAAATGATATAGGAAAAGATATTCAAATAAACAGTTATTTATGTAATAACATGATTATTAGCATTATATATACACACGCACTTTTATTGCATCTTATCCTAATAAATCAAGAGCATTCCTATTCCTATTGTAACTATTATATCAAGGATATTAAAATGCAAAACTAAATTGTACAAGCTTTCCGCAAGCTATTCAAAAAAGGTTTTGATAATATATATATTTAACTATGTCTATACAGTTGTCGCAATATGGAATGGTCCTATTTAACATTCATTAAATTAAATTTGTTTGCTTTTCTTTTCAAAAATACAAATTGTACATAATCATTTTTGAAAATATTAAAGAAGACGAAATAAAAATATTTAGTGACATCAAATAACAATTGTTCGTTTGGTGTCAAATCCGATTTCAATATAGTATAAAAACTAATCAATCTGTAGTATATCATAAACTGTCGTCAATTTTTCGTGTCAATAGAAAAGAAGTGTGCGTTAGAAGAAAACAATAAGAATAGTAATAAAAATGCATGCTGTATCCGGGAAGTAAACTCAGTTGGTGAAAGATTAGAGGTAACATTACGCTATTAAACCAGTGAGAGTGTTTTTTTATTAGGGGAAACGACCATCTATCGAATAGTGCATGGGACGTGTTGTTCTTATTTTGAAGCATTTTATATACAGTAAGTCAACTTTTTGAATACATACTATACCTTTTCCAAATATTATGTTTTCTTGTTACTTTTGAATAGAAAAGATAAGTTCAATTATTTTCGACGTAATATTGCTCTGCTTTCAAGTTAATTCAATCTGTAATTAATAGTTAGATTCAAGTTTCTAGTAAAAATTGAGTATTTTCCTATTTTTGGTTGTTATTTCCTTAAATTTGGCTTCAGCATAGATTTAAAAACTAAATACAAAAAAATTTAAGAAATCAAAAGGCTTATTTATTTAAACACAACACACAGAGAACTTGTAAGCTTAGTTGGAGTTTTTGTGGGCGTGGTTACGAGAATAAGAAAGGCAATGAGCCCTTTATTAAAAAAAAAATTGGCCTGGTCGAAAGCCAATATTGATTGCAATACTGGAAAGGCGCATTGTTAGGCAAATAACGTTTGGTGTGCATGAAAATGCGAGTCATATCAGACGTTATCTATACCATAGCAATGGAATAAGAAGCAAAAAAACACTCTCCACAAAACGAGTCTCTAAATTGAGGCTCTTATTTGCGAAGAGATATAAAACCTACACCAAAAATGACTGGATGCGAGTCATATGGTTGGACGAGACAAAAAGAAACAATCTGGGAAAAGAAGGGTGACAATGGATTTGGAGAAAACATCGTGAACTTTTGCTAATTATGTGGAGGTGTATTGGGGAGTGTGTAAGGGTTGCCGGATGAATGGATTCCAAGCAATATATTGATATCCTCCAAGAATGTGTCGGACGTCACCTTCCAGCAAAATTATGATCCCAAAAACACTTCTCGTGTCGCCAAGGCTTGGCTTCAAAATAACAGCTTTGAAGTACTTGACTCCTCCAATTGAACATGCTTGGGTTTAGGTCAAACGTGCGATTTCTGATTCGCCAGATGAGTGTCAGAATCTTAACAATTTGTGGCAGAAGGCTCAAAATGCCTGGCAAAATATTAGCGGTGAGTTCTAGAGGAAGAGTCTATGCCCAAAAAGGCCATGAAGCCTCCAAAGCGACGTGAAAGACTTTTCATCATTTGTTTGTTTTGTCAAATGTTTGCGCCCACGGGTAGTGTGGTTTGCATTTTGTGACTTGATGCTCTATTTTGCTTTCAGCTGCTACATGAGGAGGAGCAGCATTTGTGGAGGGTTGTGCCTTAAGCTGTGTTGGAGACTTCTTTGGGGGTATCTTGGAGGAGATACTTAGCCAAGGGCTTTGATCTTTTGGCATTATGTAAATTTAAATTTATTTAAATGCTTTTTATTAAAATTTATTGTTTTTAAACAAGTCTGCAATTAGACTCGGAGAACTAATGTTGCAGGAAATCGGGTGTAGTTTAGGACTTCTTGAATATAAAGTGACCTAGAAGTGTTTACTGCTGGGTTGGGATGCACTTTGTATGTATGAATATTTGTGCATATGCTTGTAATGCAATGTTTCAGCTGAACTGAGAGCGAGTTAGATCAACTAATATTTTAATGCACTCAGTGGCTGCACTGTATGTGCGGTTGAGTGTTCGCTGTTATGCTGAAGCTGTGCTTGAGAAAGCACAAAAGGAAATAGAAAAGCAGAGCACTAGAGGGAGAGCTTATACTACTCTTTAAATACAAAAAGAAAGAGATTGTCGCCAAATTGTATTGTAAGTGCGTGCATATGTTAGCAAAGTGATCGCGGAATAGGATGCACTATTTTTGAGAATGCTAAATATTTTTTTGTTTGTTGAAAAAAAGAGAAATTACACGGGAGAGTTCCTAAGTTTTAATTAGTGAACTTTAGAGCACTTATAAAAACAAATCTATTGGATATGTTTGTAGGTACGTATGTATGTACATATGCTTAATTTGCAAACATTAAAATTCGAGATTGAGGTCAACAACCTTCAAGATCGCGTTACTGAAATTCTTGTTATTGAAAATAAACAAGTATATTTTGATAATTTGCAGTTTTATACTTTTGTTGAGAAAACAAAGTTATTTGCTGGCATATATACGTACATATACAAGGAACTTCAATATACCAAAATATCGCGGGAAGATTTTTTTGGTTTTCTGCTTTTGCATATACATATGTAAATGTATGCTTGCAGATTTCAATGAAAGTTGTGTTTAGGATCAACAAGTATATAAGTATATATTTGCCTAAAACAATCTTACTGCCCTTTTGTTTGCTTCCAACGCTGAAGTTTCCTTAAATCTATCCTTGGTGTCAGCGATCTGGGTGATCGATTATGGATTTTCTTGCTGTTGTTGTGGTGGCAACCTCTTGCTGCAAGTTTCTGCTCCTCTCTAGTTGTAGTTTTGTTTTTTCGTACTAGTTTTAGAATTTGAATCTCTTTTTTTTTTGTTATTTTAATTTTTTTTTTATTGTACAATACTTATGTATGTCTCTCACCAGTTAGTTCTGTCTGCCACTTTCTTTGTTTTTAATAGTTTTAATTTGTCACTTAGCACTTCAATATTTTATTTAACTTAATTTTCCTTTTTTTGATTGTTTTGTTTGTTAGTTAGTGACATTGCTTTAATAGGATGCCAATTCAAGGTTGGCTCGAAGGACCATGGCTACGCGAGAGTCCCTTCGTAAGCCATTCAAACTAAAACCACTCGCGTTTCGAGTTTAATTGTACATTTACTTAACTTTAATGATGACAAAATATATTTTATACAAAGTCCGCAAATTGTATATGTATACAATTATTNGATGCCAATTCAAGGTTGGCTCGAAGGACCATGGCTACGCGAGAGTCCCTTCGTAAGCCATTCAAACTAAAACCACTCGCGTTTCGAGTTTAATTGTACATTTGTTTATTTAACTTTAATGATGACAAAATATATTTTATACAAAGTCCGCCAATTGTATATGTATACAATTATTATATAGTATATATAATTATTATTAACTTTTTTTTTATTTTTCAACCCGGTGCGCGCTTGATGGCAGTTGATTAGAAAATCTCATCTTTTGCTTGACAAGCAAGGCTTATATAACTGCCTGCGCTGATGAAGGCTCGTTAGGGTGTGCACACAAAATTAACGTTGTGTCCGGTTTAAGCGCACGCTTAAACAGGGTTCATGGACCATAACTAAATCCTCCGCTTTCTCGTAGAAGCGAAGACCGAGGACAACTCACGCTGCTTTGAAGAAGTGTCCAACAGATGCATTTTAACCCGAGCAGGGATCCGAGGCTGGATTGTCTTTGTTCACGTCAATCTGGTTTGTTGGTCACCTACTGGGCCAAGACATTTCGGTGACCGGGAAAACGGGAAAGGGAATTAAAACGGTCGAAGCCCATGCCACAGCAAGTCGCGGTTACTCCTGGAGGTGGACCGGTGAGCGACAAAATGAAATCTTGTTCCGTTCTTTCTCAAGTCGACGATATTAGTGTGGAGAGGGACAACATTGATGGTGTCGATCCAAAGCACCAGGAATTTCTACAAGGCGATGATAACACTGATAATGACAATTGTATCATAGACAAAAATAAAATCCTAAAATATGTATTATTGTATTTCTTTCATTATACTGTTAACATAATAAAAATTGGTTATCGCGATTATTTTACATGAAAAAGTTATCTTTGCAATATTAGATCTGATATTTATAAATATACTCACTAGAACAGATGTGTCCTACCAATATTTAAGGTGACATTGTCTCAAATGCAGCTCAACTAATGAAATATTAAGTACAGCTCATCTATTGTTTTGAAATTTTTGTTACATCACAGGGCAACTGTAAAAGAGCCACATGTGTAAAATGCCACAGTACAATCTACCAACTGCCAAAAATTCGGCCATACTAAGTATTGTTGTGCACTGCACAGTGTTTGTGTGGAGATCGACGAGTACACCTCACACTCGAAAGCCCATGCAAGAAAAATATATATATGTGGTGATGAGTGTCACTTGTCAATTACCACTCTGAACAGCTATCTGAAAAAAAATCCGAACTACTTTTTGCAAGTTTTCAAATATATGCCCATGACCTATAAATCTCGGCCCCTTGCTATACGCAACAAGAATAAATAATGTACTGTCTTGAATATGTGTGTCAGCGTCCACACTCAAATTTAGTTATTTAGCTAATGTGATATTAGTATATTTTTAGAATGAGCATGTTCTAGCATGCTGGCTCAGCGGTTCTGTGTTAGCTTCGGGAACCGCAAGAGCATATTGTCAATACAAAGATACTATATATGTATTTATATCTTTGAATTTCATCGCATTTTTTCCTTTTTATGTTTGGCACAATACAAAGGTTGTCGGTACATTTACAGACTCTGAATTTAACCGAAAACATTATTTTCGTTTTCAGTTGAAATAGAAAATTTTTGAATGAATGTAATAAAGGACTAGACTGCTACTTTTCTCAAAATTACTCGTTTGACGGAGCAATTGGTCACACCTTTTCTGATTCTTCTTCTTTATTGGCGCTGGCACCGCTTACGCGATTATAGCCGAATCAAAATTTGCGCGCCATTCATCTCTTCTTTTCACTGCCTGGCGCTAGTTGGATGTCTACCGGCGGGTTCTGCATCTGCACCATATAGTATGATCGGTGTAGTGAGCGACTTGCAGAGCTTGGAGAGGGCTTCACTTTTCAATAGCCTACTCAGTCCAAAGTAGCACCTGTTGGCAAG